GCATCCGCCCTCCATGTATACACATTGGCTGTGGGTGAACAACTTCAACTATCACTATCATGCCCCAGTTTCCTGGACACATCTGCTTCCAAGCGCACAAACCTGCATCAATTTTGAGCCCGGGGACATATCGAAGCCACCTTCTGCTGCCTCATCTAAACTGGCCAGGGAAGCAGCTGGGTTCCTTCCAAGGGTGAGTGACGTAACATTTATCTTCATGACACATGTCGCCCAATTCACACGACTCAGCTGCCTACAACGAAGCTACAAACTAATTTGCGAGTTGGGTGCCCTTTCCACGGTCGATCGTACATGGCCTGAGCTTCTGAAAGGCGACCGGCACATTCACAAGTGGCAGTAATGCACAGTGCGCACTGCTGTCATCCTCAGCCAGTGCAACACCCAAATCTCCGTCTGAGTGACCAGAATGCTCTTTATCTCCGGATATTTCTTCCTGTGGACCTGCTGGAAAAGCTCGACGTCCTGCATTGCGCCGTGGCAAGGAATGGATGTCTCAATGGTCTTGCCTATCATGCACAACCTCCCCAGCACTGTGAACCCGAAGAACCAAGCTCGCAATCCTGACACCCTCCGGGACGGGACGGGACGAGGAGGCTTACTGGCAGGTGAAGTACCCTCACCGGCAACATGAATGACTGCAGCTTTCCGAGACCTGCACAGAGTAACCCAGCCCTGTAATGTTTCGCCCATCCGGTCCGCAGGCGAATACCACAAAGCGAACTTGCATCCACCTGCCATCCCAGCTCGGTGCAGTGTCTGCAACGTCAGCTCCAAGGCCTGTAGGACATGGGAGTTGCGTTAACATACCTTGAGCAAACTGCACAAACTCGAACCAGTCGGCTTATTCCGTGTTGAAGTGTTTCTCTCTGTCGCCCGACGGCCCAGCTCATGAAATGTTCTTCAGTTTTCTGTCCGGCTAGTCTAGCCAAAACAAAACCACCGAAGCGAGGCACTGCTCGATCCATGTCCTTGATCTCGAAAGCAACAAACCTGCTGCAGCCGCACTACCACAAGCATGCAACGGAAAAAGCTTGCAGCAATACGACCCCACCTGGCAGAGTTCGTTTGCAAAATCGGTAGAAGCTGCGTCAGCTGCAAGGCCTGATAAACATGGACCGTGACTCCTGAGGTCACCTCTACCTGCATGAGGCACTGGCACATGATCCACATACGTCCCGCTGGCCTTGCCCATGTCTCGGGGGATCTTTTTGATGTCGATCTCGACTGCCGTAGAGCCATTGCGTCGGCGTACAGCTGAAGGGACCAGCCTCTCCTGTCGTGACAACACCGATCGACAAACACTTGATTTGGTACGAAAGAACCATCTCCGTCCCAGGGTCGAAGTCATCCGGATGACCAACCACCAACTCCAGCGCAGAGTCGTCACGACGAGATACCGAAAGTCTCGTGAGGTCGAGGTCGGCCTCTTGCGAATTTTCCAAATGCTCACGTTGTCCCACACCGGAAATATCCAAGCTCCACAGCAGCAACAACAGCATTATCAACATCAAGAAACACCCTGGCGACGACGACCAACCGCAACACAACACCAACACCAGCACCAACACCACCGCCAACAACAACTGCAACGACAACAACAACAACAGCAGCAACAACACCCAACAACAACAACCAACAACCAACAACCAACAACCAACAACCAACAACCAACAAGCACAACCACAACCACAACCACAACCACAACCACAACCACAACCACAACCACAACAACAACAACAACAACAACAACAACAACAACAACAACAACAACAACAACAACAACAACAACAACAACAACAACAACAACAACAACAACAACAACAACAACAACACAAACAACAACAACAACAACAACAACAACAACAACAACAACAACAACAACAACAACAACAACAACAACAACAACAACAACAACAACAACAACAACAACAACAACAACAACAACAACAACAACAACAACAACAACAACAACACCACCAACAACAACAACAACAACAACAAACAACAAACAACAAACAACCAACAACAAACAACCAACAAACAACAAACAACAAACAACAACAAGCCACAAACAAACAACAACAAACCAAAAACAAACAACAACAACAACAACAACAACAACAACAACAACAACAACAACAACAACAACAACAACAACAACAACAACAACAACAACAACAACAACAACGGCAACAACAACGAGTACCACTACAACGAGTACCACTACAACTACAATTGCAATCGCAAGTACAGTTACTACAACCACAATTTTCAACTACAGCTCTTTTCAACGCTGCGAGAGCCGGCTCTGCGCTTGGCGATCGCGTTCCTAAGCCAGGGTAACCTCAAAAAGTGAGTCGTGCCGTAAACCGGCACTGCCCACTAACCTGAAAGATAAGCCAGCGCCGCCTATAGATGCCAGATCTGTCTACAGCGTCAGACCAGGAGAATGGATTGCGTACAGGCCGGGCATGCACGATGTGTTGCGCCAGCACCCCGGTCGAGGAGAGCAGTCCGCCGGCAAAACGCTTGTTTAAGCATGTCTGGCAACGAGAGGGCAGTGAGCACAATGCTGAGGGACGGATGGTAGGGCATTTGCAGCCAAATTAATGCAACGTAGGCTGAGCTGGCACAGACGTACGACTGCTTCCGGCTGCTGGCAACGCCACAACAACAACGACAACAACGACAACGACGCCAACGACGACAGCAACGACGTGATATACAATCAAGTCACCACGACGGCGAGAAATGCAACCAGCAAAAACAGCATTGTAAATCCGCCAAGGCCACAGGCCTCAGGCGTCTTACCCAATCTTCCCTGCAGCCCGAAAGTCCAGGCCCACAATTTCGACCCCCCCCTTGCCCCGGCCCCCCCTCCTTCCACAAATCTCCTTGCCCTTTCTCCCCCGTAGCGTTCTTCAACATGGAAGAGAGGCGGTGCTTGACATACTGGAGTTTGCAGTTTAGTCGTCTTGGCGCGTTTTTGACTTCTGGGTGCAACCAGTTCTGTTTGAAGTCCCAACGGCTTCCATGCTCCGGACTTCAAAAGATGCAGGTTCTATGCTGTAAATCTTCTCAAACGCATGGAGCCGCACGCGCGTCGCTCTTTACATACATTACGTTACATTTTTGTCACTCGCTCTCGACGGATCAGGCGAGGCTACTGAGTCTCAGCACTTTACTCCTGCAGCCCTTGCACATTGGCACGAGCTGTACATTGAATTAGATACATTACATACATTACATACATTTTTTAGCACTCACTCTCGGCAATGCAGGCGAGGTTTGGGGGGTAAACCTAGTGAGGGCAGAGCGCTTTGGCTCCAGGCACCTTAACTCGTACGACAACATACTCCACTGGTTTCCACCAGTCTTCACTGTCAGCTTCTGTCAATGACTCCACCTTTGGTCCAGTTCGCTTCATCAGGGGTTTGGCTGTCCAAAACTTCTCTAGCCAGAGCCAGCACACAGCACTCCGATCTGTCGATTCAAACTCTTTCACATGCAGAAAAACCGGCACAAAATTGGCCTCTTGTGATCTGCAGTCAACAGCAGCAACTATGCTTCACTGCATTTTGGCTGCAAAAGCTTGCCACAAATCCACAGCTGTCACACCATACAACCGTCCCATCACACGTGTACTCATCACATACATTACATACACTACTTACATTACATACATCCGCCGAGGCCAGAGGCCCAGGCGTCTTGGGTTTTACCTCAGGTACCCTCCACCTAATCCTCCTCCCTGCAGCCCGAATGATTGGTGACACCCGCTTTTTGCGTTCGTTTGCCACCCCCTTGAGCGGCTTCCCCTCATTTTACCTGATTTGTAAAACATCGACTGCCCCCTCGCCCTGCCGCTACACAGCCGAGGCGGGCGGCGTAGCGTTAAAATTACACACATTACATACAATATATATATATATATATGACCTTACACTACATTACATGCGTACGTACGTACATACATACATTCACACATACATACACACATAGATACATGCATGCGTCACCATGCATCCGTACATAGACATAGACACATACACATGCACACATGCATATGCATACACATGCACAAACGCTACACTAAACATCTAGGTCCAGATGCATCAAATCTGCATCTACATGTGCATCTAAGGCCGGAGGTGCGGCATGCTAAAGATTGTCGCACGCACTGGCCCACGGCGGCATTGCCGTATAATGACATCACACACGGACCCACTATTATCTACTTGCAAGAGTGTCGGCTTCTCTCAAGGAAACAGCAAGACGAAGCTGATGTGTGAATGCCTGGCTGGCCCCACTTCCCACGTGACGAATGCTGCCAAGTCGCACAATGTATGCTGTGCCTGCTGTTAAGAAGATCCTGCATCTTCATCGCACTGAGCAGCTGAAGCTCGCTGTCGTCGTGGTTCCCTGCAGTCAACTCATCAACAAGGACAAGAAGTTGGTCACGCCCAGACGTGCACGCCCGGGGTCCTCGATGAGAACACACCTGCGGTTGAAGATTTGCACAGGAAATCTTGGGATCTTCGGCATCGCCTGCCGAAGTGTATCCTTATTGGGTGCAGCATGCCAAGGCAGAATCGAAACAAAAAGTGCTTTCGGTAGGCTTCGTAGAATGTCAGCTTTCGTGATTTTCGGATCGCACACGCATGATCGATCAGACATAGCTGCGCAGTGCAGCCCTGCTTCTCACTGGCTCCAGCAGCAGCACGAGCAGCACCCGCAAGTAGCGCGTTGGCCAGCATGGTGAGAACGATGCCATGGATCTTGTGGGCGGTGCAGAACTAGCAAGTGGAAAGAACACTATAACGGGCATGGCATGGCCCTGGTTGCGAATGCTGGCCGTAAAGGCTTGCTTGCAAGAGCTCGCATGCTGAGCATCAAGTGAACGTTGGCTGCTGTGATATCAGGTGGTTTGCATCGACCCTTTGCGCGTCATGACTTCAGGTCAGGTGTCTGCATCATTCTCAGAGCTGCGGCGCATGTGCACAGGGAACATGCGAGCGTGAAGACCATTTGATCATGTCGTGGAGGCTCCTAGCACCCTGGAAGTCCTTCACGTCAAACCTCTCCACGGTCCCAGTTCGGAAGGCGGCCTCGCATCACGGGAAAGCACCACGAATCGGAGGCCTCGCCTCTCGAAAGAGAGTTCTGACCACACCGTTACCATGTGGTCCAGAGCACATTACAAGCACGACTGCTGGCGGGGGGCCTCGTTGTAAGGAATCTCCGGGCACGCATTGACGATGAGATAGCTCCTGAGCTTATCGCTACATGCACGCGGGCTTGCCTTGCATCAATGCACCAAGCACCGCGAGTTCTCGACTCTCGACCCTAGCTTGCTTCGAAGCTCGTGAACATGTTTGCTCAGGGCCGATCTGCGGATGGAAGGTTTCGAAGAAGCGGACCACCTCTGACAGTGGATTCCGATAGAATTGCATCCTCAGTCCGACAGATCCGAGCAATCGATGGCGAGATTCAAGCGGCATTCTCCACCGAGACTGGGGAAAAAGCAACCATCCGTCGGCTGGCACACTCATGCTGAGCAGGCGCGGCCTTTGGTCAGGAGGACTTAGTCTGAACTTACCATGGCCCCAGGTCATCGGCAACCGAAAATGACCCACACACGAGAGCGGTCGGCTAAGTGTCGCAGCGTGATGTATACCTTGGCTTGAAACCCCGTGCAAGGTACAGCACCACATCTTTCCGCAGCAGTGCCACGGAGACAGGCTCCAATGGCTGTTACAGGTTCGAGGTGCTGGACGAAAGCCCAGGCTTTCCTATGCCTCAGTGCCGGTAAAGTCTCAGAGCATGTAAGAGCATCCTGGGAGCTTGCCAAGCTGCCAGATCCAAATCGAAGTCTTCCTGTTCAGGAGCACTGGCACACACCAAAAAAGATGCAAGCGACACAAAGACAGGCACTTTGGGATGTGCGGTGTGTCTGCTGCAGATGTCATACTCCGAGCAGCAATGGCAGCAGGATGGCAACAACAGACCGCTCAGTCTTTGCACCCATGGCTCCTCGAGCGAAACAAACCGCCGCTTGTTCTCGCCCGTGATCCGCCGCCTCATCGGATCAAAGTTTCGAAACGTCAGGAAACATCTTCGGCACGTAAGACAGCTCTAGGAAGTTTCGAGCAAACTTGGAGACTGAGGTGCTTGCATACGCTGACCTCAGATGCAAGCAGAAAGCCAACCACCGCAGATGATTCGCCAGTCTATGCAAAAGCCACTGTGGTTGAAGGCAGCCAAGTGTTGTCTTAAGGCTTATAGGCGAGCCATTCACACAACCCAAGTGGTTCGCCATCTCACGCATCGAATCTGGATGGATCCGAATTTTGGCTCGTGAGTATCATGAATACGTTCTCGTCGTTCAGATTTCTCCGCATCGCCACGACACGAGTCTTCGGGCGGGATTCGGGGAAGCTTAACCTTTAGGTCAAGCTGTCCCATCCTAGTTCGAACAACCGGTTTGCTGCACGGCTCAATATGTCTTCTCCTTGACAGGGGAGTGGTGGTTCTGGACTCAGAAGGAGAAAGCTTGGTCTCGGAGCTGGGAAAGACATGTGGAGCGAAACCCAAAGGCACGCTGACGGAATCGTCTTGACGGTTCTCAAAAACGTAAGCCCACACCACAGCCAGCCCGAGGCTTTGAGATTGCTGAAGCGCGACCGTGTTCAGCAGATGCAAACGGGACGTTTGTAGGCTCGGCATATGATGGCGGCCAAGGAGCAACACCGAGGCAACGCATGGCTGACAAAAACAGCGATGCGGATGACTCGCAAGATCCTGCTCGGAATCTACAACACCGGCTGGAAAGAAAACAAGTGTGCTTGAATCCGCTTCAAAAAGGCTTACGACCCCTCACTCAGAGATTGCCACTACCCGGCTCAAAGATATCAAGCAGCAGAGCCGCACCTGAAGACGCGCAAGAGCCGCAGAAACCTGAATGGGCCTGCAGACATTAGTTCACAAAACTCTCACTCCATGGAGGTGTCGGTCACGGCAGGCCGGGAGCCTGTGTGCCCAGCCCACTCGGTGAGAGTTTGGACAGCACCAGCGATCGTCAAGATCACGACCGCGGTGTCAAACCTTGAAGCACAACATCGCAGAGCACCACCTCCCTTCCTCCATCCCCACCGTCCCTTCTTCTCTCGACAATCCCGGGATCGGGATCGTTTCAAGTCCTTCGCTTCGCTCACGCAGCGGCCAGGAACCGGCTCAAGAAAAGCAGGCCCGGAGATGTCGGGGAGAAGACCCTGCTTTGAACTGGTTTCACCCTCCCGGAAGCTGCAGCACAAAACACTGCAAACACACGAAGACGAAGACTCTCCAAGCGCTTTGCCGGTTCCAACACTTCGAGAAAAAGACCTGTTTCAGAGCGCTTGTGAAAGAAGGCAAGGCTCTTTTGACGAGGCCGGGCCTGCGTACCGAGGCCATAAACACGCAAGCCGACATCGGCGGAGTACGCCACGGACCTGAGCTGCAAGAGAAAAGCACTCTGCCGAGATCCTAAGCCGTCGGAGTGCCCCTTGAGCACAATGCGGCTGCATCCGAGCTGTTTCGGCACAACGGCTCCAATGCCCCTCAAAGCTTAGTATGAGAGTCCAGCAAGAAGACGAGCTTCATGGCCTGGGCAGGACGTGCAAGCACAAGGTACTTCACAAAGAGGCAGGCTTCATGACACACGGCAGAAAAACACAAGTTCTCTAAATCTTTCAGACACGAGGGCAGCACATGGGATGGCGATGGAGGGCTGCTCGCCCAAAGCGCCGACACGCCCACGTCTGCAATGTGAGCCAGCAGTGTGGCGAGGTCAACGGCCTGAGGATTACCCCGGATCCAAGACTCCGAAAACAGAGTCAGGACAGTGGACAGGACGGTTGCTGTCGGGACAGGCCGAATTAAGCTCCAGAATTGTTGAAACCAAGGCCAAATAGCAGGCCTCGGAAAATTCACGTGGGGCTGGTCGGAGGCTTCGGGAGCTCGGCTTCGGTTCGGGGAATGGGGCCAGGAACACCAGCAAAGTTGGAACAGGTTGGGCCCTGGAAAGCAAACGAAAGAAGTTGCAGTACGATTTTCGGGTTTAGGGACGGCATAAAGCTCCAGATCTGTTCAAACGAAGGCCCTTCCGGGAAATGCATTTGTTTGGTTGGTGGCTTGAAGAGCTCAATTGAAACCTCGGGAATGGGACCAAGGGCAGCAGCCAAGCTGGAACAGCTCTAAATGCATTTTCCAAGCCTTGAAACGGAATGCTCTTGGGGGCGTTCCCTGTGCAGCGAACAAGCATCTCAGAACTGGAGCGGACAAAGGGGATCCGACTGTTTAATTAAAGCAAAGCATTGCGATGGTTTCAGAAGGTGTTGGCGCAATGTGATTTCTGCCCAGTGCTCTGAATTCACAAAGTCGGACTAGAGTCAAGCTCAACAGGGTCTTCTTTCCCTGCTGATTACCCCAAGCCCGTTCCCTTGGCTATGGTTTCGCTAGATAGTAGGTAGGGACAGTGGGAATCTCGTTAATCCATTCGTGCGCGTCACTAATTAGATGACGAGGCATTTGGCTGCCTTAAGAGAGTTTGGGCAGATTGGGGCAAGACCTGGGGCAGGTTCCAGGGTGGGTTCCCCCAGGCAGGTTCCGGGACGGGTTCCGGAGCGAAGTGACGCAGCCGAGCGGACCGAGAGCCAAGCCACCGCCAAAAGTTGCAGCAAAACCCACTTCCTGTGATCACAGAGCGAGGCCGAGTCGGCAACGGCGAGACTTTCGAGGCCCTCACGCGGACACGCTCAGTCGTAGCGCCCACTCACGCTTGCCGGGCTTGGCAGGCGCGCAGCTGCCCGTCACATACATCCTTCAGAGGCAGCCGCAACACCATGCAACACGAACCCCATGCTTCGGCACTTGCATGAGATTTTCCGCCAAGCTCCAGACAGCATGAGGGCGGCTCGCGCATCTCTGCTGCTTGGACTCTGCTCCTGCCGTATGCTCATGTTCTCGCACATTCTCAGACGAGGCTGTTTCGGCCTGGTGCGTTAGGCGCCAATGCTCCGGCGTTCGCATGGTCTGGAACCTGTGATCGGATGCGCGCTGGAACGTTTGAAAGTAAGGATCTGGTGCTGCCTCGGGTCGACTCGGGCTTCCGTCAGCCTCGGGTGATAATCGCTGATGCTGCTCGACGAAGGATCAACGTCGGCTTAGCCGGGGGCCGAGTTGCACGGCCTGATGCATCGGGAACAAGCACCTCACAGTCATGTTCTGTCCGCCGAGTATGGGGAGGTAGAACTTTTTGCAGTCAGGCACAGGCCTGTCCCGGTGATCCAGGGCCTTCCTCGGACGCCCGCCTGCTAAGAAGATCATCTGTAAACTCGGGGCGAATAGCACATCAGAAGCTTTACGGTGCCTTTCAGGAAGGGGTGGTAGCTCCACGGACATAGCTGGCAGAACTGCCATCAAGCCCTCACATTGCAGAAGTATATACTTGGTGGGGACGGGAGCGTTTAACGATTGCTTGTTTGAAGTCTGCCTTTGCTACGGATACGACCAAAGACGGATAGGGACATGGTCGACACGGGATACGATTGCGGTTCCTAACCTGAAACCCCTGGACAGAATTCGCAGCACGTCGCAACCACAATTCTCACACACACACACACACACACACACACACACACACACACACACGCGCGCACATCTGGCATTCTCCAGGGCAGGCGGAATTTCCCCATCTCAATCTGTCCTGGTTTTGCTTCCAAGTCTTGAGACGTCAAACATGGCCAGCCTTTCAGGGCCGGCATCCAACGAATCGTCAATACCCACTTCCAGAATTTGTCCGGAATCTTTGGCAGGCTTTGAATCAGCATGTCGTAGACATGCCATACTTCAACGATTGTGAAACGTAGCTACTGTGAACTGGGCGGTGAGTGAAGCCTTGACTGACAAGCACAATCAAGTACGGCTATAGCTATATGGGATCCCTGGATGGCTGTGCAGCATACCCGGCCCGTTGCTACATGTCCGGCTCCAAACATGAATCAAGAGACTCGAAGGGCAACTCCAGGGATTCGGATTGCGTTCTGCCCAGTGTGCTCTCCAGCTTTGGCCTGGGATGTCAATACGAACGGTACAGGCAAGCGCAAGTCACAACACCCTAGGCGCCGACTGGGCCACCAAGAAGGGTGCCTGCTCGCTGGCCTCAGCTGTCCAGCTTTCCGGTTTTGGGCTTCGTCGCTGCAGCGTCCAAAACCGTTCGCCTTTGAACTCTGCTTGCATCGAAGGCTCGGATACCTCGCGGCCAGATGGACCTGCACGGTGCATTCCAAGCTGCACTACGGAGCAAGTAACACAATCTCCCCTTGCAGTGGCTGTGCACGTCCGTGCAAGCAGGAAAAGGTTCTTGTTGGCATATTGAAGACAGGTCAAGCTGCAGAGCTACAGCAGTCACAATGAAGCCGTGCGTCGACCCACTCCAAAAGGCAGCCGCTTGAAGGTTGCGGCTTCCCTCCACAGGGGCACGCAATTTGACAGCGCAGTACAAGCCGTTGACGAGTTGATAAGTTGACAGTCTCCTGGTGTTGCGCGGCGAGTGGTTTCGACAGTGCTTTGGGCTCTGGATCCCGCGCCGAAAGTCGCCAAAGATCTTCTCTAGACCTTACGCTTCAGACTCAGGGAGTCAGCCACTACCGCGAAGTGAACGAAAGAGCCCCCCAGGTCAGCCCGGACGCCCAGCTGCCGAGCCAACATGCCGTCGCTCCGAGCCCCCATGTCCGGACCAGGGAATGGAATCTTCAGGGACAGAACCACAAGAGAGATGGCCGCAGATCGCGCAAGGCATTCTGTGCAATGCACATCTATGCCGACCTCTCCGATCCCAGGTTGCACCCTCAGCTGCTGGACCTTAAGGGAGGTGCTGGTAGGGCTGAGCGGAAAAGGCATGAAAGATTGGCAGCTGGACGTCGGAAAGCATGACACGGCCGAGGAGCTTGATTCTTCAGGCAATCCGTTGAAACCTCCGACGCATGGATTCGCCGCTCCGCGGCCAGGAGCTTCTGCTGCAAGCCTTCCAAGTTCTCTGCGGCCACCTCTGTGCAGCAGAAGCAATTGGAAAGGAAAGGTGGTCTTTTGCCTCTCTGCGACCTGGGGTCTCCCGTCTCTTTTGGATCTTCCGCCGAGGCGCTGCTTTGGTCGACAGCGAGGCCAAGGCTTTGCAAGCATCGCCGACCTGCTTGGCCAAGCTGTCCAGGACGACATCCTCACGATCAGCAGAGTGGAGCCCGAGATGGCGCTTGAGGAGCGCACCCGCCAGCCTGAGCATGGAGCTTCGCCTCCAGTGCGGGATTGTTTACGCCAGCGCATGCATGCAAGGTTTCGTTCACACAAAGCCTCGCAGGCCCCCAGTCGCGGTTGCAAGGTGCTGATAGACCTGAGCTTCCGGAGCTCGCCGGAAACAAGATACGCTTGCAGGGGCCAACAGAGGTCTGGAGCCTGCTACATCTTTGCGCCCTAATCGGGCTCCGTTGTGCACGAGCAGGCTCAGCAGGAGCCAAAGCAAGCAAAACGCTTCGAAGCGAACAGCCACGTCGGTGCTCCTATCTTGAGTGCGTGACGTGCTGATGCCAGTCTGGTGCCACTGAAGCTCCCGGAGCTGCGGCATAATCCTGAGTCGCACCAATGGAACATGCGCCGAGGCGTGTATTCCCTTGTGCAACTGCCAAGCCCATCCAGGCCACTTCTCCACGGCAGGAGCTGCAGCTTTGCTCGACGGTTGCAGCGGCTGCACCGCTGGTCGCCTCGAGCAGTAAAGCAACGAACAATGCCTCCATGCCAAATTGCAGCGCTGCAAGCTTCCCAAGCTGCCTTGTCATGTCTGCGATCTCTGCCGTCCTTACTGATGTCGAAAAAAGGGTTTGAAGCTGCGTCTCAGCTGACCCTGCGTCCTTGAACCAACCTCATAGTGCACGTGCTTGATGCGTGGTCTGATGCAGGCAAAACTCAGCTTCGTCTGCATTCGATCCTCCACCTTCGTTCGACAAAGGCATAGCCGCTGCACTTATAAACAAACCGTTTCGCAGTGCAAAGTGTCCTGTCGATGCAAATCGATGGTATAAATCGCCTCTTGCCACCTTCCGCGAAATTCTCGAGTAAGCTCATCCACTGCCTGGTGCTGCACCTACAGACACGAGATCCCTTTAGAGTCGGTTGCGACAGCTGTTCATGCACCTCCAACATTGTCCACCTAACATCCAACACCGTCCCACGTGGATGATTCGGGAACGGCCACCAAGGCACTTTCACTGCGTGCTGCATGTCCGCTTGGCTTCGGTCCGCAACCTGCAAGGGACACATGTCCAACGTTCTCGGAGGATCTTGGTGTGTTGAGTTGCACCCGGCCTGGCGCAAGCGCCCGACCTCCTTTGCATTTCTCTCTCGCTCCTTGCAGGCGGCAGAAACGGAAATCATGCCGAATAGACCCGCGCACTGCAGGGCCTCCGCCAGTGCTTTCTCAAACTTTCTTCTGAGATCCTGCCAAGGACGATTTACGCCGGAGCGAACAGCTGAGACTCCAAACCACATGGAAAGCAAAAGACGCGTCAAAAGTTGAACTTGCCCGCACCTGGCAAACAATCCTCCCAGAAGCACGCGGCCCGAAGCTCGCTTTTTTGGGGCTGAGAAATCAACCTACATGAGACTAGAAAAATCATGAAAAATCAGCAATGGCAACCAAGTCGTCCGAAAACTTGAGGTGGGTTTTCGACTGTCTCACGATTTAAGACACGCGCTGTTGCGAAATTAGGCCCGGGGCCGCTCAGTACGTGTGCGACAAGGGGTAGAGACATGCACTACTGAACTCACAGCGAACTGCAGCCGAGGGTCGGCCACGACCTCAGCTCAGACTCCCGGGCACAATCTGGCACCGTTTTCACATAACCACTTGCCTTGAGGTTCGTACAAGTAAGGCTGTTCACTGTTGCGGCGTTCAGTCTCAGAGGGCAGAGGTGCAAGACGAGCTTCTGTGCTTGTAGACTCGGACAGGCGGTCCACAGCCTCTGCCAAAGCAGCCTCTGACGTCGTCAGCAAAGCCGTTCGCGAAGAATGAAGTCTCTTAATTGCCATCTCCAGACAGTTCACAAGCACATAGCTCACAAATTAAATTCATCTTAGCATTAGTAGAAACTAGCGTGAGAGTGATGCGCCTCAACTTGTGTAAATGTGGATCGGCATGTTCCCCGCCTCCTTGGCAACCAGCCTGGTTCCAAAAGTGTGCAGGAAGTGGTGTAGCTCCTCGAACTTCAACATTCACGGAACAGTTCAACTGAGTTCGGCGACCGCTCGGACCGCCTCATGCAGGCTTTCAGACAGCTTCTCGATGGAATACTCCATACTGCTCATTCCCAGTAGTCGCGCTGGCACCCCTTCATCCTCGCAATGCTACCATTTTCAAGAAACGTGAGCAGCATCGCGATATCATGCTCTGATGCTCGTGAGGTCCTGTGCAGCTGAAGCCTGGTCTCTACTGCCCCTCCACCATGGTGTTCGAGGTGGAGAAGATCGAGATCGGCGGTAAATCTTGGCATGAGGCTCCTGATATGAAGGGCCGAGCGGAAGAGAAGCAAATGACAGCTGGTGCGGTGCACTTTCACAGCGGCGCGAGAAACGACTAGCATATAAGTGCGTACTGCACATAGAACGCTCAAGAACAGGACACAAAAAGGATGGTTTACCCAAGTTTCCATGGCATCTTTGTCCATGTGGTTGAAGACGATCCTGCGGACAAACATCATCGAAACAAGTATGTTTTGCCTCTTGCCCGGCGCGAGCTGCATTGCGAAGAAAACGAGGTGCATCCTAAGACTGGTGACCACCGATTAGAACTTACTATTGTGTGCTGATCCGTGCAATTCCTCCCGGCGGCTCTCCAGACTGCGACAGCTCATGCACCTCAAACTAGGAGATACTGGCAATTCGAGGTTGCTCTGAACGTCCACGTCCTTGCGCGGCGCAGCGACGACTCAATGCTGAGAATGTCAACTCCATGACGATGAAGGCCTTGGAGACACGGCCACGGAATGCAGCTGTGCTTGAGCAGATCACCCTAATCGAGCAAGCTGCACGAAGAATGCCAAGATATGCCATGCACAGAATCACCGTGACTTCACGTGCAGAAATGAAGTCACCTATGCAGTATCGTCATCCTGACAAACACTTCCAACGGCAACGCGGAAACTTGCAGGTTCGAGTCTTTCTTTGCCGATCAAAGACCCAGCATTTTGCCCAAAGCCAGGTCGACGTAAACCGCGGCTATCCATGCATCCGGTCACCCGCAACTTCAAGTTTAAACTTCAGCTTTGAATTTGCTGTTTTTTCGAAAGTTCACACTAGCGCTGAGCCGCAGATTGCACATAACACGAAACTTGCTCACCCAACTGCACTGCATTGTTCGCGGGCCTACTGGGGTGGAGTTGTCTCCGTGTTGCACACTGCGGCCTTGATTCGTGAACTGCTTGCAATGCACCATTTTCCGAACAATGCCAGCGAGTGTGTTGCTCTGCTTCAGCTGCAGAAGCACTGGAGTTTTCAATGCAGTCTGCATTGGTGAGCTGCGTGAGACTATGCACATCTCAGCTTGCCAAGTCAAGCGGGTCTCCCTTTGCACCCTACAGCCCGCCGTCGCTGACCGGCTGCTGATCTCGACTTTTCGACATCAGTGACACCCGAGCCAAATCTTCAGCAACTAGCCCAGGGCCCACTACGAAGCCGTCAGACTTCCGATGTGATTTTGACAGAAGTCTGTTAAACACTCCTGGCAATCAACCCATCACGAATCTTCGGTGGTCAGAGAAAGTCAGAGAAACCCCTGGCACTGGAAAACGAGCATGCCACGCAGCAGTTCCGAACGAGCAGAAAGTTCAAGCACACCTGTCTCGACGGAGAAGCACTTGGCCTCGCTTTCTCCTCGGCATATAAGACATGAACACATCTGCTGCCCGTGCGTTGCTGTCGTCGAAGACAGAGAACAAGCTGGAGGAGCCCCTACGAGAAAGCAAAAACGCAATTCCACTGACAAACAAACAAAAAGCAAGACACTCCGAAGAGTCCTCCATTGCACTAGGACTAGTAGAGCTCAGCTAATTGCTCCTGCAGCTTCTCCTCGCGCTGCACCCCAGTCTGTTCGTGAAGCACCTCTCCCAAGGGTAAAGCGAAGTTTACAGGAACACACCCGGCATTCTCTGCAGGAACTTATGTGCAAATTCCGAATCGGCCCAACGAAAAATATCAAGTAGCACAGAATGAACGAATATTTCACCCGTCATGAACCCAAGGAAGACTGACGTAGCCGCAGCTCTCGACTCCACGTCTCATCCCGTACCACGGCCACAGGCACACACACACACCTTCCTGCAGAGTTTACCGTGCGCAGCCTTATCTTCTTTGGCAACTTGACAAAGCCGCGCAGCCTCCATTCCTCACCGATCGTTTCAGCAGAATTTTGGTTGTCACCCGTTTGCATGCGTCAAATGCCAACTGTCTCTAAGGACAGAACGTGTAGCCCATCCTGAATCTTGAAACTTCTCTTCCGGAGCCGCCTTTGGCATGGTTCTGCTGATACACTAGTCGGTGCCGGTCTGATACAAGGCACTTGCCGCATCTCAAAGCACATGAAACCTTTACATCCGATTTGTAAAGCTACCACTAAGCTGCCACTGTATCCGTGCCTGAACGGTTTCTGCGGAAGCCGCTTGCTCCCGCAGAAGCCTGACTGGAAGCCAAGTGCAGTTTCCAGGCCCCAACACCAACCGGATCCGACCGCAGATCTCCGGGGCACAGCGCCGCCTTCGTTCGCGCTGCTCTTCGTTGCGACGCCTCTCCACGGCTTCTTCGGATTTAACCTGGCAATGAGCTGAGCGAATCGGTGGTGATCGTTGGCACCATCTCTTGATAAATGAAATATGTGCCTGGAACGAACCAGGATGCTGCGAGAGCGAAGCACTCGCCTCCAACACACGTACAAGCACGAGCATAGCCAAAACCCGTTTGGTTCCGATTTTGCATGGCATAAGTTCTGCTCACACCAAGGCATTCCAATCTGCTGCACATGTTTTGCTTGCGCTTCACAGCACCCGACCATCTCGGCGTGCCGGGGTCGCTGGAGAGATGGGGCCTCTCTGAGTTTTTCCTGGTCAATGCATCAAAACAAAAGCCACGTACGAGCAGTGCGTTTTTCGCACGGAAACGAAAGGTCCGGCACAATTCACGCCTGACGAACAGGAGTGGGGCCATCAGGAGGGTCTTCGCAAGCCTGTGTTGGGCGAAGCTTGCTACTTGCATCATTTGCAAACTGGCGCGACTGCATAGCTTTGTGTGCTTCTCAGGCACGCGGGATTGCGGCAACACATCGGAATCCATTGGTGGACGCTGCGCACAAGCCTGCAAGCACATGGGTGCAGCACGAAACTTCAAAACGACGCCAAATGAAGCTGTCAATGGCACTTCCTCATAGCCACTCTTCGAAACATGTACGATGACGACCGACCACGAAATCAAAGCAGGAATCATCAGGAATCCAAATCGAACAACAAACCGGTCAATCCTTTTACCCCCGAATGCTCCCGAAGCCAAGGTCATTCCAACAGAAGTGAGCGGTACAGCATATCTTGCCTGCCTCACAAACACCCATGCCCATTCCTCACCCAATTATGGCGAGACATCTTTGTTGTGCTCGAGCCAGCACCACCCCACACACCACATTTACCCCGCATTCGCTACGATGCATGTCATATGACACCTGTCATGTCTCTCTCTCTCTCTCTGCCTGTGTAACGGCCATTTCCTGAAGCTTTCATGCAAACAGAGTCGTATGCTTTCTCACGTCAATGTACAAAGCTAGCTCAGATGCCGCAAAGCATGCAAAGCCTGCTCATCACTTGTTTGTGTTCAACCTTACCACGCCGGTTCGCACGGGTTTAGGAAGCAACCACACATGTCTCATCAGTTTCGCTCCTGCATTAACGTCGACATGTTGTTACCATGTCAGCTTCAACTGTCCGGTTATGTACGGCTCCATACCGTCGCCGCTGCATGCCGGTTGCAACTAGTCACATCTAGTCACTGCCGCTGGCATTTCCAGCCTCAACTTGCTCGCAGCGGCGCCTATTGCTACTGCCACGGCGGCCATGGTCGTAAAGGCTGGTGGCTGGGTTAAGCCGCCTGTTGTGTTTTTGACCGGCGCGGCTTTCTACCGGCATCAAACACAAAGCTATCGTTGTGCACGAAAACCGTGCCGACGGGCCGCACGCCCTCAGCTTCAGTGCTCTACAATGTCAAAGTTCAGGGTTTAGGCTTTGGCTTGAACACGCCGTTGCGCCACCCAGTGCACGTTCGGCCTCAACAGTGTGACCGGCGATCCTGCGGGGGGCACCTTCGACCACTCCAGAGTGCAGTCGCCGGCATAGTCCGGCAACGTCATGGAGAGTCCAGGGGCAATGGGAATAGCATGCAGATTAACGACGAGCTGATCGTGAAGACTTGTGCATCAAGCTCAAGCCGCATGGCACGGTGCGGAAACGCACCAACTGTGCTGTCATGCACGTGTTCGGCCGATGGCCGCTTGCAGCACACAATTTCACGTGGGTGGCCTCGAAGCCTGCGGCTCTGCGGCTTACAAAGGCATGGCTACCCAAATCAAAGCTCGAAAAACCGTAGTCTTTTCCACGCTCTGGTTACGACCGCACGGTGTGCCGAGCAACGTGGCAGGAAAGGGTCGCGCGCTACGGCTTCCTTGCGCGCAAAAGCGAGGACCTCGTGCAGCTCCGGTGCAGCTCTGGTGCAGCTCTGGCACGGGCCCATTGCTGAAGCCCTGCGGGGGGGGCGGGCGTCCACCCCAGCCATGGGCTGCTGCGTAATCGGTTATCAGGTGCGGGAGCATTACGTGCATCATCACGACATGCTTTGCAAGTCGGTGAGTGAAGGATGCAGAAAGCTACGCTGCAAAAGCCGGTGTTGCTAGCCACGCTTGCTCTGGAAATGGATGTCGCCGATGTCGAGGCCGAATGCACCGAGCCGCGTCGGGCAGCACACAAATACCGAGAAGGGCAAACACGGGAGGTCACTGCTCTTCGGGCACATGCCGAACCACAACGTCTCGATGAGCGTGTCGGCTGCGAGAAATTTTGCAGTGAGGGCGCAGGCGGCGGCCGTGCACAAACCCAAAACATCCCAAAAGAAAGGCGACTCTACGGCAGAGAATGGCAAAGGCGGTGCGCGCAGAGCGCATTTTCTACGTGAACAAGAATCCATCGCAACCCGGAGCTTCCACCTGTTTGGCCATCCGCGCACGCACTGCTGCGGTATTGGCTGCAAATGGTCTACTCGCTGTCGGTCTCGTAGAGGCCAGAACTGAGTCAGGCACGTGCAACAACCGGGTGGTTTATGTTGTCTTGTGTGTCCTGAATTCTTGGCAAAAGGTCTTCCTCCTCTTTGCCGTCGACAAGGGCGATGAACAGCAGCTGAGTGTGTTTCCTGGCTCGAGGACTTTACCTACTTCCCATAGGCGAGCGAGTTTTTGTATTACGCACCTTTCCCGGAAGTAAGAAGCGGTCCCTGTGCAAGCTGCGAGCTACGGAGAGGGCACGCTGCGGCTCGAGATTCACGCGAACCGCGCAGGGAGGCGGCTGTGATCTGGGGCGGCGAGCCAGCGCGCATCAGGGAGCACCTTGTGCAAAGCCGGCGGGTTGTCGGCAGCACCGGGCTCGCAGTCAACTGGGAGGTCGAGGAGCGAGGCCGCGAAAGCTCGCTGAGCGACAACCGCCAGCATTCCGCTCCAGCGCTGCACCCAAGCCGTGCGCATTGCCTGGCGCAGGGAGGCCGGTGCATTGGGAGCCTTCGCTCGCGCAAAGAGGCGGATGAAGTCCCCGGCCTCAGCGCTCCATCGCCCGCCGGTCTCGATGCCAAGCACGATGAGACGACAACGGCGGGAGCGCAGGAGCTCAGGGTACGTCTCGCACCGTTTCCTTCGCTCAGCTCGGGCGAGTGCGACGCTTGGTCGAGCGTTTGCGCCTGGGTGCGGAAACCCATCGCATGAGAGTGGCGAGACGATAGTGGCATCGACAGCGAGCTGCGCTCCGTACCACAACGCGAGGCCGTCACCTCGATGCGGCGCCCGTCGCTAATCGGCACGTCAACGTGGGCCTCTAAACCCGAAGAGACGACCTGCACCGTTCGTTGCCCCACAAGTTTCTTGGATGTTGTTCTGTCCACGGCGCTCATGACGGTGTCGGGTGCATATTGGTTGAGGGTGGTTTGGTGCACCACGGTAGCTTTGAGTGGCTTTGTAGTCCGGCCGTGATCCATGTTATCTTCATCCAGCTTCACGTGACAGCATCGAGCACAGACAGAGGCACAGACCTCGACAAGCAAGTGACACATAAGACCCGACACGTCAAACAATTGTGTTTTTTTTCACACTCCTTTTCGTTCTTGCCCACTTCCTGTCCGGTCAACATGGCCTACAGGAGCCCAGGGCCCACACACTACTGCTACGTCTAGGTTCGTAGCGGCAGGTCGCAGCGGCAGATGCCCCACCAGCGACACGTCCAGCCTGAAGCCGCTGCGGCCCATAGAGCCGGCGGTGCTCTGTAAGACAGGAGTCGAACCAGGTCTCGTACCAAACGATGCGCATCGCTGCTTCCAAACAACACCAGCCGGCATGGCAGCCGCCAACGTGACCGCGATCGAAATGGAGGCGCAAACATGCGCAAACTCAACCCCACCGAGCGGCCATGCAGCCGCCTCAGCAGAAGTACAGCAGCCAATACTACCAGACCAGCACGATCCCCAAATCCACTGGGACAGAGGTGACACTGGAGGTCATCAACGGAGAGTCGATAAAAGATCAAGGCACAACCGAACCGATGCATTTAATCTTGATACGTCCGCGCTTGTCAACGGAATGCATTCCAAGCCATACAAACGCTTAGATCTGATGATTGCGTTCAACACTTGCAATTTCCATCTAACCGACGTGTTTGCTTTGTTCCAGAACACCTTCATTCTGTTTGCGGTAGCAATGCAGCCTCCAAGACGATTAAAAATTTCTGCTCGATTGTCAAACGAATCAAGCAATAGAAATCCTAAATAGCAGGCTGCATGCTTACGAGGAACAAGTCTTCCTTGTGCAGGGCCGTCTGGCGAAAAGCGGACGGAGGAGATACGTTGATTGGCTGTTATATTTACACACTTATCATAATTCAGCTGTAATCCGAATGGGTTCCTGTTGTCTCTTTGTACAATTTTTTTCTTTCAAATCACCAAATACAGCACGCCGGCTTTCACTTTACACTAAGGTTTGCAACAAAAGCTTAAGATCAGGTACGAGTCCGTTACCGACCATGTGTCATGGTCAGGGCGTGAAACTTCTGTGCATGCCAATTCATGCATGGTAGCAATGCACAAGGAGCAATAACCAAAAATCAAAAGGCAAAAGTAAATCAGAATCACCATTTTTCTGGTGTAAGAAGTGGCTGCAAAATTTCGATTAATTTTTTGTGTGATACTTTGTCGAAGGGTTTTTCCCAATCTAATAGGATGAGGGTGCTGCTCGATCTCGATTTTTTCCGAGATGTCTTGTAATCCACGGGCTACGAACATGGCTTGACTGATAGGTTTACGTTCTCGAAATCCATATTGGGTCGGCATTAACCATGTATCTAAACCACCGTCTAAACGATTTTTAGCCAATGCAGCCTTTTTTTTCCACGCGCCTTTTTACGGCAGCAGTGTACGAAACGTCCCGGTGTGAGCTGCGTGCTACGACTACCTCTACCGGCAGGGCCCAACGCAGTCGGCCTGAGGCCGTCAGCGCGCCTCAGCGAGGAGCTTGTGCAGCTCTGGCTCGGGCCCGCCCCCCAGGTCACCGGCAAGAGGCAACTCAAGGAGAGAGGCGGCCAGGGCGCGCTCCGCGGCGACTGCGAGGAGGCCAGGCCAACATGCAGCCACTACTTTATAACACGAGTTTAAAAGTGAGATTGGACGGTAGTTTTTTTTTTTGTTTTTGCCTGCACGGCTCCCGAGGGTCCGTCTACCTCTCCGCCGAAACTACAGTAGGCCACCCCGCTACGGCCAACTAGCGCAATGGCAACCGGCTCGGCCCCGCCGCTTCGGCGAGGTCGAGCACACGGTCCAGTTCCGGGCCCTGCCACTGGCTTGCGTGTGGCGGGGCGGGCCACGGGCAGCACAGTGCTCCTCCCATGGGCGTCGCTCCATAGATCACCAGATCAAAGCGGCGCCTGTCGTCCGGGGCGACGCCCGGAGCAGTCGTGTTGCACAGCCATTGCTTCGGGACTACTTGGCCGTCCGCCCCGACAGCTTCGCGCGCCACCCTCACCCAGGCCCGTTCGACGACTTTGGCTCGTCTAGCAAGCAGCCCAGTGCGCGGGCACACTGCGGGCACGCCAGGGCATGATCGCCGTGCACATCGACGAGTCCACCACATCCGGGAGAGGGGCCGCAGTGACTCGCGCGAAGGGGCAGTGGGAGGCGCAAACGGCGGCGCAAGGCGAGCTGCATGGCTTGCGGCGGCAGTGTAGTGGCTGGGTCCGCCGGTATGGCTGTTGACCAGGCACCTGCGTGCGGGCCTGCCTGGGAACGCAAGAGCGCGCAGGCGCTTGGTGGCAAGGCTGGGAGCAA